GATTCAATAAAAAGAAAATTATTTAGGAGGCCCCACAACCCTAGATGAGAATTTAGGAGAAAACGAGGGTAGAGTAATGTAACTTACAGTGTCAACTGGAATGGAAAATCCAACACCAGATGATGCACCAGATGGAGAGTATATAGCTGTATTAATCCCAATAAGGTTTCCTGAGCTATCAAGAAGTGGGCCTCCACTATTACCAGGGTTAATAGCAGCATCTGTCTGGATAACATCTTGGATTGGACGCCCAGTTGCAGCTGAGCTTATTTCTCTCCTTAGCCCACTTCAAATAAGAAAACCAATACATTACCAAATGTTTTACATGTATTTTACTATGCATAATATGTATATTGGTAGTCCACAAACTCATATTAGGAAAAAGTATGAACTACAAATAGTCCTTGTATTCTATACAATGCAAAACAATATTGTGTAGAATATAAAAGTTGTCTTTCAATTTGTGTTTGTGAGTATGATTAAGATGTAGAATGTCACCCTTGCACTTCAACCAAAACTTTTCATACCTGATGACACCAGTTGTTAGTGTGTGATCAAGCCCAAACTACAAAAAAAAGATGAACTTTCTTATTAGTCATCAGAGCCCTGTGATGCTAGAAACTTAATTGAAGATGACAAATAAGGATTAACAAGGAGAGCTACTGCATGAAATATTGATTTGAAGCAGCAACTTAGCAGAACATATACGTATGAAGTATATAATAATATAATATGCTTGTGTGTATGCACACTCACAGGGTTTCCTATAGCAAACACTTTTTGTCCAACAAGCAAGTCAGCAGACACACCAACTGGAATTGGTCTCAATTTATCTTTTGGTGCATCGATACGCAGTACTGCAACATCCTTATCTTGGTCAAAGCCAACTACTTTTGCATCATATGTGGTCTGATCAGCAAGAGTTACCCTGTTTATACATAAATCAACTTGTTGCCAGCAAAGAGAAGAAAAAGAAATGTATCACAGACATTTCTAATATATCCTAATGATGGATGTTGATAATGCAACTACAGCTGACAAACTGATTTATGCATTTTACAAGGTGTACAAGGAATACAAATACTAAGATCATTGAAAATATCGGAAACATATACCTACTCTATTAGGTTAAACTTAAACCATGTGGTTTTTAGAAGGTCGAGAGATCCTCTCAGACATGATAGATCAGCAAACTATATCTCCTATTACTACTACAGGTTACATTTGGTGCTGCCATGATTTTGAGTGTTTATATACCATGGATTATTTCAGTATTCTTATTACATCGGATTTGGTTTATAGTACATCGCTTAAAGGACTTGTAATCAACAACCAAAAGCATCAGGATATGTCACTATGGGAAGGCATCAATCACTTATCTGTTGTTCTTTTATTCGTTTTCATTTCTGAAACTTGTCATCTCTTCTAATTAAGCCTACTAGTCAAATCAAACTTACAACCAATCATTCAACTCAATATTCGTCGCAAGTTTTAAATGAAAAAACAATATTCACTCTGCATATTCCATGACATGAGAGAAGAGGCAAAACTTGACCAACCTGAGATCGGACGCACCTCGAATAACATGATAATTTGTGACAATGTGACCTTTTTTATCCCAAACAAAGCCTGATCCAGACCCCTGAGGCACCTCCAATACATCCAAAGTAAATGCATCCTGCCTAGACAACATAACTTCACTCAGAAAACGAATGAATTAACAAAAGTCTAGTATCTCCATTGAGCTCATGAGATAAAAAAATGCCTGACGTTAGCATCATATCCTTTATCAATCATTTCTATATGTTTATCCGATGATCCGTGATAAAATTAAAAAAAAAAAAAAAAAAAAAACATCAGATGAGAACTATCTATCGAAATCAACTAGATCATCAGAATTCTGCCTTTGGACCACATAATTCATTTCCAGATTCAACAAACACAACGACAGCCACAAAAACAGATGTTTACTTAAATTATTGTAATAGAAGTACCTGGAAGCTAAGTTAGTGATGTAGACGACGGAAGGCGTATTATCCTGGAAAAGACGAACAGTAGCTAGCTCGTCGGTCTGTAACTTCCGAGAGGGAGTAACAACAAAGGCAGCAGCCGAATCGACATCGGTAACAAAAATAGAGACGGAAAGTGCTGCAGAAGTGATTAACACGAATAATGAATCTAGGAATTTGTTGAGGGTAGAACAATTGGCGGACTCCGGCGCCGACGAGTGGTTACTGTGAGAAGTTTGGCGAAGAGAGGCAACGATACAAGTGCTACGGAGACTGCGAGGAGAGAAGCTTTTTGAAAGAGGAAGCGTGGCTTTTGGGAGACGATTCGCAGAAGGAAATCGGGGAGGGAGAGTCGGAGAAGAGAAGTATGTGGAGAGGAATGAATATGCAGCCATTCCTGTTCTGCGATTCCTGCTGCGTAAGCATAGATTGATGACTTGTTTTTATGCATATTGGGCAATTTCAATCAAATATTAGTTTAATTTCTTTTCTTATTGTCTCAGATTTATTCAACTAGACAACTACTAGTCATTTAACAGCTAAAAATAAAAATAAAAATAAAATAAAAACATTAATGAAAAGTTACTATCTAAACTCTTGATCAAAGAAAAAAACCTTTGATATATTGTTGAATGATTTTAATCTTTTAATGGTTATAAAGAAGGTATGGTTCTTTAATTGTTCGGAGGTTTTTAATTTACTCTTCAGTTGTTATATAAAAGCTATATATTTTACCTACAACTTAAGGTTTTGTCAAACATACACCAAATAGCAGCTCAATTGAAATACAAATTAAGCCGCTTTCTTTCTGTATCACACACAAATTACTCTAAAAATAAATCTAAAAATAAAACAAGTTCCCTTGTTGTCAAGCAAATTCTCCATGGATGAGCATCTTACCATCTACACTGTTTGTTTGGCAAGATGGTAGTTGGCGGGTGTGTGCGGAGGAACTTAATAGTATGGACAGTGTTTCCAGCATGTATAAAAATGTAATGATTGTAAGATATCATTTTTTATATGTAATAGTGAGTATGTAGTGTCAAACATGTAATAGTGTGTATAGTATGTATGACATGTACTCAATAATGCATAGTAGTATCAAATACACGTACTATATGTAATAATATAAAATTAGGTATATATCTAACATAGATAATTGGCTAACAATAGTTAGTCTATTGTTTGTTGTTTGTAACTTACCCCATTTGAAACCAAACGTTTGGTCGGTTGCCACATTTGGATTAAAAAGAAATTAAAATTTCACCTAAAACCCACGGGTTTGCTCCCCCAAACATCAGTTGCCCTTTTCTTTTCTTTTATTTATTTGTTTATAATTCTTTTTTAAACATTATTTTGTAATTAATTTCATTCTACTTTTATTTAAAAAATAAACAAAATATATTAAAATACGTATGTGGAAGAGTAGTCTAAGACTACCCTCATTCACAACCCAATCCAACCCAATCATTTATTATAAAACTAATTTCTCTTTCTTCCACATCCATAATACAATTAAACTCAAATTTTTACTCCCATCAGCAATCAAACCCAATCTAATTTTATATTAAAAAAATATAAAATTTATTATATCAATATTGGTATCATTTTGTAGAGAAAAATTAATCATGTATTTTGATATATTTTATTTAATTTTTTAATCAAAATAAAATACAATTATTAACAAAATTAAAATTTAATTACAAAAGCTATTTTACATATACTGTTGACACGTGGGTTTAGTTGGGTTTAGTTAATGGTAATAGGAGGCGAGCATTGGTGAGCTAGGGTTGTGTCTCCGGCCTAGGTCACCAAAATTAATTTTGTTTTCATTTTTTTCTAATCCATAAATGGTGATCGGCTCGCCCATATAACCCCAATGGGGTAGTCTAAGGAACCTAATCCCAAGAAATAAAACAGAACGAAAAAAATTGTGAATTAATTTACTCTCAATTTGTCTATTGTAGTTTCTAACTTCTGAATAGCAGATCATCTACCTTAAAAGTATCATCCAAGAACTCGACAAGCAGACGAATATCATACAATTTAAAGATCACGATCAAGTACTCTCTTGTTTATCATTTTTAATACTCTATAACTTTTAATTTGGAAATTGTTTGTCTGCATGTTTGTGTGTGTGTGTGTGTGTTTGACAAGAGTAAGATTATTCATAAAACTTCTTTAGGAGACACTTCAACTCGATGGAACAAATTGGCTCCTATCAAATGGAATGTGTTGGTATGAACAAATTATCCATTAAAGATAACTAGATTATGACCCGCGTTAAACGCGGGGAGCACATAAAAAAACATAGAATTTTAAACATATATTATCATAGGAAGCATGACAATTAAAAGTACATTACTATAGCTATTTTAAATTCATTAACATACATTACAATAGCTATTTTAACCTCATAACAATTAAAAATACATTACCATAATCAATAAACACAAACATTATTTTCCCATTAGAGTTTAAATAAACTTCCACAAAATATCGTAGACGAAATTAAAAATTCGTCTTGGCATATCTCTGATGGTAGTTGCTTCCAACATCTTCGATTCAAACACTATATTTGTAAATCGGTTGAAATCAAAACATTTACTGCAAATAAAATAATAAGGCAAAGATTAAGGAAATTAACTTTAAGCTTAAAACAAAATGACAATAATAAGCTTGGTCAATATAGTTTGTTATTTAAACTTAAAACAACTTGACAATAATATACTTGGTCAATTTAGTCCATAATCGGTTGTAAGTCAACATTGTATTAAAAGAGATCTAAAACTATCCCGTTTATGTTTTTGTGTGTAAAAAAAATGCTTGAACACATAACAATGACCAAATATTTGAATTTTATCTGAATTATTATAATTTTGTATTGTACATAGATAATAAAACATGAGTTTATGATTAAAAGAATAAATAAAAAAACTAATAAATCATAGAGTAATATAAAATATTTAAATAGTTCATTACAAAAAACAACTATGTTTGAATGCAAATTAAACCAACTTCCTGTTTCATACATTGTTTGAAATGAATCATATTAAAATCCTACTTCATATGAATGGTACATAGAAAATCAAAACAATAATAGAATGGGGAAATTCTTATATAAAAATGTTAAATAAACCTTGTTCCAATCAGGAATCTCATCAATGTTTTTTATTTGAAAATGGAGGTAGGAATCTTCTAGATTGGCCACAACAGTATCTGAGTTGAGCTGCGATGTACGGCTAGAAGACTCAACATTCATATCCAAAGCATTAAGACTACATATACATTACAGGATTTAGTAAGCTAAATATCTTAAGTATGGTAAGTAACTAATTGAAAGTAATAATTACACTTGTCATCATATAAAAACATAAAACATTACAGGATTCATAATTATTAAGAAAACATACTTTGATTTAAACTCTAAAATGTGAGGCATATCATCATTTATATGCAATCTAGATCCAAACAAACAATTACCAACTTAAGGCTGACCTGGAAATAAAAAGTAAAATAATATTTTCAGTAATTACTTTGAAGTTGAAACGATAATCTGTTGGAAAAAATCCATACCACCCCAAATTTTGAGTTTGGCCAAACGTAGCAGGATGATAACCGGAGCAGTTTCATTATGATGTTGTGAAATGTAAGTATTCTGCTTCAGTGCAAAACTGTCCCATAAAGCAACTGTAATTTTCGTACCACTAAAAATGCATGGTGGTTATTAATGAAAGATAAATATAAAAGTGGGAAAGTGTAATAATAAAAGAGAGATATGTACCTTAAATCCTGAGCAACCAGATTCATTAACCTTTTTTCTCTTCCATTCTCATCAATGACTCGCATGGGATCAGTTGACACAACTTTCACCAAGAAAATCTATGTGACAAAATGTAATAAATTAGTAATAATAATACAAATGTGTATTACATTAAAAATTGAAGTATAGAAATAAGTTAAACTAATAAAATAACAACATACCAAATGCAACACGAGTGTCAAAGTTCCTGGCTAGCAAATCTGGGAAAGAGATAAAATGATAAGGATCTACCATATCAACAAAATCAGTGGATACACGAACTTTTGTGGTTTTATAGAAATTGATTTTATGTTTATGAGGAACAAGCATGTAATCGCCTTCATTGCTAGCCATAGCAAAGTTACTGATCTCCCTAACAGCTCCTTCATCGAATAGAGATTCAAATAGAGGAATATTTTTTTTTTTGCTTGTATTTTACTGCCCTGAAGGTGACAATGAAAAATAAGTAAGTGTAAACAAAAGAAATTAATAAAAAACATAAAAATAATATTGTAGAAACATCCATATTTTTCTGTCACATATAAAAAGCAATCAAAATACCTTTTTTATGCAAAAATACATAAATTTGAAGTAATAACATAAAAATCTGACAATCTAATTACTAAAGTTTGTAGAAACATTACACAATTAATAATAAGAAGAAATCGACATACTTACTTGATTATTAAAATTAATAAAGCTATATAAAAATAATATTGAGTGAAGGGATCGGGAACTAAAATCACAAGATTTTTAATAATTGTAAATTTATCTGATTGATAAAAAAGAGAGGAATAATAAGAGATTTCATTGCATAGACTAAAGTTGATAATTAAAATTATTTGAATAGAAATAAAACAGAAGAACAGAAATCGATTTTAATTCATATTTTTCTGTCACATATTTGAAGCAATTTGAATAACATAAGAATTTGACAATCTAAAAAATAAAGTTTGTAGAAACTGTACCTGCTGGTCAATTAAAATCATGTCTAGGCTCCCGACCATATTAGGATTGTTTTTATAGGTCTGCTTCCAAAGCAAGACGACTTTAACATGTATGTTCCAAGACTCTTTGGATGCATCGATTTCAGCAACCTTATCAAACACGACCCGATCTGCATTGTTAGTTGCCATGGAATATTATTATCTACAATGAAAGGAGATAATTAGTTAGAGAGACAATTGATTTGGAATGAAAAATCGTAGACACTATATTTATAGGAAAAAATAAATTTGATTAATGCTGATATGACATAAAGATTTTGGATTGTAATATCATTTCCATACTTAAAATATGTCTTATGTATGGTATGATATCGAAAATAATATCAATATAACATGTCAAATATAATTACAAAAATAGATAAAATCATACCTAATTTAAGATAATAATTACCATATAAAAAACTGTAAATTTGAAAAGTTTGTAGAATAAGAAAAAAATATAATAAATATATAATATTTCAATAAATATGAAATATAATTATAAAAATGACGAATTTGTAAGAGTTGAATTCCGTCACATGTTTGGTTAAGAGGAGATGGAAGAGAATTTGTAAGCCTTGAGCCACCACTTCGGAGTGACCTTGGTTTGTCCTTATGCAATCTGACGCATATATATATTGGAGCGACTTTGGTTCGGCTTCATGATGATCCAAGGCACTTATCATGAGTTTGCCTTGCCTTGGTAACAAACTATGTTGTTGTAACCACAATTTGTTATAGCCAAAATACCATTAAATTCAAACAAAAATTACAAGATGGACATTAAACAGGAAACTAACAACGTACCGTATGAATATCTTAAATGTTGATGTTTTAACGACATGACTATGAGATATGGTTTTATTAACTTGTAAAATGAAATGTTCAATGCAAGTATGGTAATGCCTTTGTTTTTTCCTCGAGCCACAGATAAGATTCATATTAAATTCAACCCAAACCCGTCTATTTTTGGGTTGGGTCATTGTCGGGTTACGGGTTGGATCGAGAGTTGTCACCCCTAATTTTAAATAGATTAATAATAACAACCACAATCATACACCATAATACCATAATGTTTTTGTAATAATCCTAAAACCTAAGATAATCTAAACATAGTTGAATGTCCAAAATTTGGGTATAAACTTCCATCAAATTGACTGGGAACATACTCTGATACGGATTCATATCATATTTTAAATTTTTTGCGGATATTTGAGTTATCGAAAATCCAAAATATATATTTTTAATTATTTTTTAATCCTTCATTATTAATTTAAACTCAACCGACCATTTTTAGTTTTAATATCTTTTAGACACAAGCCTACTTGTAATTTGTTTGTATTAAAGTTTCTTTAGGGTATTTTTATAAGATTTGTATGTATTGACCTAGTGTACAATAAATTAGTTACTGAATCAATTTAATGTAAATTATAAAATGAGTCGTTTAAATAATAAGAATGAAATTGATGTTATTCTTGGCTTTGGCTCTGAAACATTTTGTAATCTCTAAATATTATTAAAAGAGAACCTTAAATTATAATCTTAAGAAATCAGAGCCATTCATTACATTTCAATCCTTAATTTTTCACCATTGGATTGTTTGCTGACATCATCCTTGTTTATCAAACATCGTTACACGCTTTTCTTTTATTTCCTTCGTCGTCTACCCTCTTTCTCTCTCTCAATTGTAACCTAATCACTCCTTTTTTACTTCAGTCATGCCAGAGAACTTATCCCTAATTCACATATACCTCGCCTCTTCAAACGCCTCCAGAAATTTAAAGATTTGGTTAATCGATTTCTCATTTATCTCTTTTCTCCGGCAGTCCTTTGTTAACACCATCCTATGCGGCCGATACAACCTACAAGAAGGTAACTGACCATCCCTTCATCTCTATTTTTGGTTTTCGATCATTATCTAATACTGTGGTTTTGATTATTTTGGGGGTTTTTTTTTGTTAGTCGAACAGACAGATGCCAAGTCCATATATCGATATCGACATGATCTTCTTAGTTTTCTCCCTCTCTTTTGCTCTAAACCCAATCGCTTCCTTCAATCGATACCAGAAAGGGTCACCCCAACGATTTCATACATCAAATCGATCCTATGTGTTCTCCCCTGCTGCTATGTGTTCTTCCTCAGACGACTAAGTCCCGTAATTATGATCGTTGACGCTTTTAATTCTATAACTGAATGGGTTTTTCATCTTTGATGTTTTCATTCAGGAATTGGAGTGATCCTACTTGAAGCAAAATCACTGCAAGAGATGCGCAGATTTGAAGGTATGATACATTGATACTCATAGATTATAATACGTCTTTTCTAAAATTGACTGACTTATCCCTTTATTGATCATAACCCTGCACCAAATCAATGGATTTTTTTCACTTATTGTGATTCATTAATCTCTTAAAAAATCCCTTTCACTGAACTATGAGGTGAAATTATATGTTCAAACTTCTTTATTATGATATTAATGGGAGCATTGTGTTTAAGAAGTTTAATGTTTCATCTATCACATACATCCTATTGTTGATTTACTTATCCTTTATATACTTTATATACTTAATGAATGTATTATTATTAATGAACTTTACCCAAGGTCTTTAGGTATCTATGACATGACATGAAATCCGACACCATTATGTGCTTAGATATATCAATGGAAAAACGATGTCCCATTACAAGCAGCCATTATGGTGTTGTTGATCTCTTGAAGGTACTCAATTGTATACCCCCTTTTTCTGGTTACATTTCTTACTTCTTTAGGGATTTTTATTCTTGTTACCTTGTTTATAAAAGGGTGCATGTAGAAATGGATGGTTCAGTGAAAAAGATAATGAAGAAATTCAAAAGCTTTGAAATGAGGTTGGTAATATTTTTATATGTACTTATATTAATCAATGTTGAGTTCTCTTTCATTTTTTATAGTCTCTTATATAAAGTCTACTCTTTTATGATTTTAGATATCAGGCAGTTTGTGCAGTGTTAAGGATATGAACTTTGGGGAGAACAGATTCCATCACAGTATCTCAGCAGTTATGTTAAGGTGATCTGATATCTCATTATCTCTACAAGTTTCCATTTAGTTTCAACTTCCATAAATGGAAAGTTTTTAAAAATAAATTTTGATTAGAAGGACTATCTTATCCCTTCAGGTTCTATCCAAGTATAAAGATGGATGAAACACTTGCTTTTGTTGAGGCCATGATAATATTGTTCCATTTTCCTTAAACTAATTTTATCTTTAAAATCTATGTAATAATTATAATTTTCTATTTATTGTAGCCGGGATACAGTGCTTTTTTGAAAGATTTTGATATCACAACCAAAGCAATGTCTTCTAATGACAAAATAGTAAGCATTTCTTTTTGTTTTGTTTACATTTATTATGTGATTTTGCTTTTATTTATTTAGTTTTGTTTTTTTTTATTTTTAACTTCACTGCAGTATTTGTCTGTTGCTCAAGTTGATGACACGGAAACATCTTCATGCATCATAAGCCCCCAGCAAGTCATGTATACTTTCTTTTAGCCCCTTGTACTTTTCTCAAAAGCACATATTCTTTTAAAGTAATCGATCTATAATTCTTTCTGATAAATTTCTAGCTTTTTGTTAAATGGAAAAGCAGCGAATGGGAGGACTTGTGTTTTTAAGGTTTATATTATTGAGCATTTGAGCCAATTTGCTTTTGTAAATGGTGTTACATGATCCTATTTCTCGTGTTTCCCTACCAATTCATGTATCTTAAAAGTCAACAAAAGTTAGCTAAAATACCATCAAATACTAAATCCATGTTTTGACTTAAAAATCAATAAAGTCAACTTCTAAAGAATACCATTAAAAATAGTAAATTCATGACCTCATTAGGATCCAGGATCACAGACTCCAACATTAGTGACACATATGCTCAAATTGGGAACCAATCTTCTTCAAGTGGTGGGCCAGTTTAATGGTATATTTATACTCTGAACCCTTTTTTAATAATTTATATGCTTGAATCCTCCATCTTAAATAGAAACTACTATAAATCTTTGTTAGGGAAATGTATTATAATTGTTGCCTTCATGAGTATGATCTCAAATCCAATCTCTCCCATCCTTCCCAAGTATGTGCGTGCCACCAGTTGCTGCTGCTCCTGATCCAGATAATGAATTAACTGAAGGGGCTTTTACCACTAAATTAACCCATAAGGTTCTATTTTATTTTAATACAAATAGCACTTAATTTATCTTAACTAATTAATATGTCTCTAAATCCAACTTCTTATTTTTATACAGCTTCAAACATATCAAGACACCTGTCAAAGGACAATTGTGTAAACATCATCTAAGGTGAGTGTCAATGTTGCATTTGTTACACAATATGAGAAGGGCATTTATGTCTTTTTGCACAGACGAGAATTTACAATTTACCATATTTACCCTTTGCAGTGTTTTGATTATGACAACTATGCGGACATAAACTCAAGAAGACCATCGTGGAAATGTCCCCATTGTAGTCAATCGGTCTGATTCACCACCCTTAAAGAAGCCCTACCATGTTACATGAAACTGAAGGAAGCCAGAGCTTTGTTAGGTAGACTTGAGTACCAGAGAGGCAATTTTGATGTTGCACTTCAAGTTTTATATGGAATCGACATCAGAAGCTTGTCACCAAGGATGATTAGGGCAATTAGTAAGAGAACCCTGAAACGAAATTCCAAGGCCAAAAGGGAAAAAAGAGCTCTAACGCTGACCTGAAGAATAAAACCCCAACTAGAAAAAAAAACATCTCAAATTCACTGGAAGAATGTTCTCTCCACTGTTAGCCTCCTCATCTGTCGTATAAATTATAAAAAAGTGGAACATTTTTGCATAAATTGGTAAAAATGGAACATTGTTGTATAAGTAATAATAATAATAATTATTACTATTTGTAGGTGTGGGTTGTTTGGATTACTCCACATGGATGTTTTCCATCAACGGCTTGAGCATGTTTTTTTTTCTTCTTTTGTGGGATTTTAAAAAGGGCAAATTACATAAAAGCCATTACTTTTATCAACCTTTTAGCTAAAACACCATTATGATTTTTTTTCTTCATTGCAGCCATTATTGACCTACCAAAATTGGTTACCATCTTTAATTGGCTTACATGGATAAATATTTGAAATAAACTAAAGTTGTAAAAAAAATTAAAATTCACAGTTTAGATAAATGCTTTAATGGTCCGTGTTAGAACAAAAGTAACATAACTGATCCCTGAGTAAGAAAATTAACAAAAATTGTTACTATTTAATTTTTTAAAATAGAAATAGGCCCTTTCATGCATGGACTATTTAGAAAACATAGCATGTTTACAACAAAAGACATAACCAAAAATCTGTTAGGTCAATTTCAGTTATAACAATGTACTTTGATTTATGTTAAATATGATACAATAAATAAAAACAACCTCTTAGGTCAATTCCAACAAAATTTTCACTTACGCCATATCTTGAAATAGCATTGTACTTTTGTTTATTTGAAATTGTTAGCGTCCTACTTCGATTTCCTTTAAACGGGACAAAAAAAATGAAAATGCGATGGAACTTTATCCTAAAAAATGAAAGTGCATTGGGTTTACTAAAAATCTAAAATGAAAAGAACTAAGAAATAGAAATTAAACTCACATATAATGCTTAAATTAAATATAAAACAAAATGAATTAAAAAATAGAAATTAAACTCACATACAGTAACACAACCACATACTTACTAAACTAATTTCAGAAATTATTTGCTATTTTGGTCCCTGTTCCATGTTCTAACAAACTTATTACATACACCATAGCTTGAAATGGCATTGTACTTTTGTTTCTTTTAATTTTTGAGCATTCTACTTTCATTTTTTTGAAAGGTACAAAAAAAAATTAAGTAGCCTCGTCAATATCAACATATTGCTATTTGTGCAATAGTTTAACGCAGTAGTTCAATAACTTATAGCATTATACTTTCAAACAGAGTAAAAGACAAACACTAAAAAGGACATACACTGATTTGAGTTGATGTTTTTTTCCTTCAATTTATGCAGATGATTTGTGAGAGATCGGACGTGTGAATGTAATGTTGAAAATAGGAGATATTATGTTTTAAAGTTTATTAAAAACAGGATATAGGATATATGATATTTTTTGTTGCAAGTTATACTTTTAAGGGATAATAAGAATTACTGATTTTCAAGCAATTTAATGGTAATCTCTTATTATAGGTGGCATATAAGATCATATAATTGCCTAAAAAGTTGTATTACTTTCAGATTTAGTGGAGATAATTACATTGTTTGAATATTCATATGTATATGGATGAATTGTGTTGATCCAATAATCATGCACCAGCGTTGATAAGTCTGCACTGATAACTCTCTAATAACTCTATGTAATAATTTGAACATGTTACTCAACCGCCTAAATAATAAAGCAAAAATATTCCTTGGTAGCATTATATTATGAAATAAAAATTAATAAAATAGAAATAAAATTTAAACATTTGTGCATAATCTTAAAACCCATTTGATTGGTTCAAACAAGAACCATCGACCATCAACTTGCCTACAATCATTATTATGAAATATGAAGATGAATATAAATAAAGTCTGCATCTCAAAATTTTTTGGCTTGTTTGATGATTTATAACTATAACAAGACAAAAAAAAATCCATTTAAAGTTTACGCATAAATTTTGTTTTCACAAAATGAGGTCACACGCAGAAAGTTTATTTTTTTTTTAAATAACTTCAGTTTTATGATTATACTTCATAAACCATTAACGTGAAACAATCATTATTTTTTTCACAAACATATACATGACTCAAAGCATGATTGCTAATTTAGCAACCCTTCTTCTTACACCATCTACTCTGAAAATGAAGACTTCCTTCATAAGTTTGATTTCCAAAATATTGCTGATCTCCAACATGTACATGAGGTTTATATACGCAACTTTCATTTATAAAATATATATGATGTGAAATACTTTTTGCATTATTTTTATATTAATCTTTCATTATACTTTTTTTTATCATATATTTTGAAGTTACATTAATATTTTGCAGGAAAAGACATTGATTGTTGTCGGTACGATTAAACGTTTATGTGCTGATGCGGAATGGTACTATTTTACTTGTATTAAATGTCAACAGAAAGCTAAAAAATTTGTTTATATGCATGAGCATCAACTTCAAGATAAATAAGTTTTTGATTGTTACACTTCAACTTGTATGAACAATGAGATATCTTTTGTTCTAAGGTTTTCAATAGTTTTTTATACATATTATTATAATCTACGGTTAAACTTTCTAAGTTTATATTACTGAATTTGTTTATATCAATGCTTTTAGTTTCAAAATCACCATTACAGTATAAGACTTTACCGGTTTGGTGTCACTTACATTATTTGATCGTGATGCAAAGATACTTCTTGAGAAAACCGCACAAGAGTTGCTTGAAAATTTTAATGAGGTTATTGATATTATCTTTATTCACACAAAACTACTTTTAACTTTTTGTCTATCAATTTTTATAACCGTTCATTTTTTTAGGAGAGTAATATGGACATTTATCCATCTGCTATGAATGTACTTTTGGATAAAAAGTTGGCGTTCAAAATTCAAATTTCAAATGATAATTTGAAGAACAAACTTCATGGTTATGAAATCTTAAAGTTCACTGCAATTACTGCTCAATTGGAAAAAAAAATAACATAAAACAGATAACATATGAATTTATTTCTACATTTAGAATTTATTTCGACATTAATGATGCTCTTTTTGCTTATTGTTTTTTTGTTTTACAGTTCTCATCATTGGACTCTAAGATGATTATTGAGGATAAAATCAAACGTAGTATCTTACCACCACCGAATCTTTTGAGATTGTTACTGCCAACAACTACTTCGGTCAAGCAACCTATTGAGATTGTTACTACCACCGAATCATTTGAATGGTCTTCTTTGAAAGATGGTGTTGCCGCTCCTTCTTTGAAGATCCCAAAAATGAAAAAGCTCGAATAACTTTAAGTCATTCATCATTATTTGACATTTTGGCTTGAAGACTTTTTTTTTATTAGTTTTTATTGTTTGATTATGGATTTGTTTGACAAATAATTTGTTTTGATTTAAAAGTTCATGTTTTTTCATCTGTTTCCGATAAATTTTATTTTTTTAATTATTATGTGTTCCCCGCGTTTAACGCGGGTTATAATCTAGTTATGTTTTAATTCAAGCATTTAAAATAAATCAAAATAGCTTAGTCTGCAAATTTAACTCCAATATAATGGATAAAAAACAATTTTTTTATAATATTATTAATTTTGATGCAATTGTTAACCAATGATTGAGGATTGAGAATAACCCTTGTGCATTATTTTGTTTCTTATGTAGAATGCCCACTCATTCATTCATGTTCTGTCTATAGTGTAAATATAAAAAAACTGACAACATACTTTTTATTAATTTGTTTACCTTAGCATTCCAACTTTCATTTCTCCATTTATAACATTATAGTTAAAAAAATACCCAAAATATAGCAATTTCGTTAAAAAAAACAAAGCCTTTTTCACATGCTATAATTTGGTGGACTTTTTAAAAGTACGACTTGTTGAAAAACATCAAATATAATGTTATATCTAGGTATGTACAATTCCTTGATAGAAAATTTGAACGTATCATAATACCACTCTAGATAAGAAACTCTTCTGTTTTTGGAATAGTTGTCACCGAAGAGACAACTTATAAGGGTTAAATAACAACATACTTTAACTTAGTTGTTTGTTATAGCATTCTACTTTCCTATCAAAACATTTTACCATTCTAATTGCAAAAACGACCTACTTATATCATTTAAAAAGCTCTCAACTTTAGATCGAAAACCTTCATCCAAAGAAATATGTTCCACATTCAACCTGCATAAAAAGTGCATACAAACATTGGTAATTAAAGTGCAAAAAAAAAACTTTGGATTTTTTGGATAAGGATACATTGTGATATGGAACCTGACGTATAATTAAGGGGTGATACTGATAGTAATTAAATAATTAATAAATGCTTACCCTGAACAAGTAGTTTTCAGGGGATAATGACAGCTTTTGTCCCTTCCCAAAAAACATATCAACAGATGGGAAAGTTTTCGAGAGCTGTGAAACATCATTGAAAATAAAAAGATTTATCATTTTCATATTATTATTATTATTACTATTTACTTTTATACAATGATTAATGTTAAATAGATAATAAACATTACCTTCCAGCACACGACAAGCAAATGTCATTATAACTTGGATCAGGTCCTTTGATCACATGAACACCTTCAAGTTCTTTTAAGATCTACATATAATATAGAGATAATCAATAATAAAATACTACCCATTTGATAAAATATTGCATCTAAATGACCATTTTACCCTTACAAGAAGGGCAAACAGGTAAAGGGTTGGTATCTTGATACATAAAGAAAAGGAATCACTTATCACACCTCCATCAACAAGTTGATCAACTATGCTTAAATCACCACGACCTAATCCCATTATTCCATCAGCATGTTGAGTGTTGACTGTAAAAATCACCTGTTTCTCTGTTTTCACAACCAAAAACTGCTCGCTGAGGTTGAAGATCACTTTGGTTGCCAGATGATATGATGTCTTCACCAAGAACACCACTGCTGGAACTTATTTCTCCATATTGTCTTTCGTAGATGCATTGTTCTTTGTTGTTATCACAGGTGCAATCGATGTTGCATTCCACAGGCTTGTAGGAGGTGGATGATTCTGGATCGAACTTTGGATCCTGGTAAATGTAAATCAATAACATTAACAAACAGGTGATTGCTCTATGTCAAGACTTGATTCTCTGATTTCTTTTTGTTCCCTGTTTGTGATTTTAGTGTCACCCGATCACAGGATCATTTTTGGTCTTTCCATGATTTATATGAGTGCCAAAATAGGTTTATATGGTGATCTAATAACCTTCGCTCCTAGTGCCATAGAGCTTTGGAGAGGATTCAGTTAGAGATTTCTATATCTATCAAATCTTGCAAATAACACCATCTTTGGCATAGGCATATCTCGGAAAATAAGCTCATCAGCCAATGTTCTTGATCTGAAAAAATTGATTTATTTGAGGACTTAAATCAAACATGTGGTGTGCGACATGAATCCATCTTTCAAATGATCAAAACACATTAAGAACTTTAGAATCTGTCTTTGAAACAGTAGAAGAAATGACTTTAACACAATCGAGGGCACCATTCTTAACTTTAGATTAAATTCATTATGCATCCAAACCTTAACCCGACTCCTTCAGTTTTAGATTAAATCCATCTAATTGGAGTTCAAAATTTCAAAAAACAGATGATTAATCAAATCAGTTTGATAGCGAGATTATGTGCTTCTGTGTTTGTGAATGTGGACAGAAAGGAACGAAGAAGATGAAGAAGGCTTTTTCAAAAAATACATATATTGAAGGAGAAATCGCTAATGATATAAGAGGTGATACTTAATTTGTCAAGACTTGATTCTCTGAAAATACATATGTTAAATTGGTGTTCCTATTCGGAACCCTAATTATATTCTGAACATAAGCAAATGCGTAGATAAGATCACATAAAGCTTCAAGTACCTTCATGATGGTTGTCGTCGGCCTCACCAAGTTTTTTCACAAACAAAACTCTATTGCACATACGAAATCCTCCAGAAGCCGGAGTCGATCATCGTTATAGGGGAACGCAGTCGATCCACCATTGATCTCCACTTCTACCAGAAATCTCTTGACAATCGCCGGTGAATTTTAAGTCGACGGTTGAAAACGAAAGATGGAAGTGAAAGCCCTAAACTCAGAAAGAGAAAGCCCTAAAATCTACCTGTTGATTGAATAATGTGGGGTATTCTGTCATCTTGTTGTAGGCGGTGGAGAGGGAAGCACCAATGAGATTAGAAGAGGTGTACGACGGTGTAGATTAGAACATGTGTCGGCTTGGCCCGATTGAAGTAGAAGCGAATGGTTTCTCTGTTTCTTTAGGTTAGATCGGAAGAAGAGATAGAGAGCGTAACAACGAACGGAAGGCAACATTAGGCAAAGGCAAGGGGTGGTTTTTAGGTTCAACCAACCATGATGTCAACAAATAATCTAAGGGTCTAGAGTACAAGATTGAAATGTGGATGGCCCTGATTTCTTAAGTGGAGAATTTAAAGTTCTCTTTTAATAATATTTAGCTGTTTGTTTTTTCGAAGCGAAAATGTTTTAAGTCTGCGGACCACCTCTGCAATCCTCTGTAGTAGAAGAGGTGGAACAAAAGGCTGCAACATTTAATAAAAAGTCTGTTTGTTTTTAACGTCTGCAGACTGCTGCAGTAAGTTAAAGTAAGGCGCGAAGAGGTTTGAAGCAGTTGGTTTAGTGCTGCGCCACGCAGCACACGCGCAACAGTTTTTAAGTCAGAAGTCTTCAGAAAAACAAACAGCTGCGAAAGGCCAAGTGTTGCGCGTGTGCTGCACGGCGCAGCAATAAGTGGTCTGAAGTGGTTTTTTTAAAAAAACAAACAGCACCTTAGAGATTAGAGATTTGGGTAAACAAGATATTGAAGTGGATTAGGATCTATGCACGTCTTACAATACTTGTATCAAGACCCAGGAATAAATCTTATTTTTCTTGTCCACTTAGCTATTTATATTTGGGGTCTAATTAGTTATCCTCCAGAGTACGTCAATTCTCAACTTAGGGGAATATTAATACCATGCTTCGGTTTCTTTTTCTCCAAAAATCATTTCAGATATGGTGCCGTGCTTATAATACAATAATACTTAAAAAAAATCATAATCTAAAATTTATATCGACTTAAAAGAGATTTATCATGCCCAACTAAGCAATTAAGAATCAAACAAGAAAAATGTTAACCAAAAACATAATAATAGCAAACAAAACACTTTGATGAGCTACTTAAGAAAAAGTCGAATTATTTTAAAGGAAAAAGTGAAAGAAACCGAAAACGAAATAAATAAGTATAGAGTATAGAGGGTTGAAGAAAAAGAAGATCAAAACATTCTACCATAGGGTCTGAGTTCCCTGGGGAGGCTATCAAAGTTGCCGGAATTGACATCGGATTGCAACATGGGTCTCATCCCGGATTTCCACTGGATTCCATCCGCTAAATGTTCTTTATTGGGTGTCAGCATTACATAATTCGGATCCGCTCTTTGGTAACTTGCTTCTCTTACATTATCCACACGAAGACCAACTCCAAAACATGTCTTTCCTATAGTTCGATCTCGCGTAGCTGCCATGCCATCATATTTAATTAAATCACACTTTTTATTTATTTTTACATACCTAACTTATTGGATTTATTAAAACATATTGGAGTCAAGTTCAAATAAGAACTCGATCACAGCCCTTTGATCAAATTCATCGGATGGCTAACGGTTACAAAATGGTGGGCCCCTATAAATCACGGTCATCTGATGAATTTGATCCAAGGATTTTTTTAACGTGGCGGATTTTTTTGTCAAAAGATTAAAATTTTGAATATTATTATATATATTTCTTATATGATCATTTAGTAATTATTAAGACAATAAAATATTAACTTTTTAAATAATTAACAATTATAAACTATATATATAAATCATCAAATCTTAGATCTTTGATTAATTAATCTTCAAATATGTGAAATATTCGATCTTTGAATGGGGAATTTGGGATCAAAAATATGAAACATCAATTGGAAGTTTTTCTTAATAACGGAAATCATGTAATTTAAAACTCAATCATTCTTCAAAAGTCTATGTTTGTTGTATTGTGTGTTTGTGTGTAGCGTAGATGAATCCTTTGCATTGAAGTTTATGGCTAGTAAAGTTACCTGTGACATTGAAACTGAATGCAGGTTTCCACCATGACTTAAAAGCTAAAGACAGAGATGAACAAAGAGGGCCCACTTTTCCCTGGAAGATATATTGGTAAATTAATACTATAAATTATTATTAAACAATGGTTATATAATTAGTATATGAAATTAAATAAAAGGTACCTTGAGCAAAATGTTTTTATTGGCTTGCCAAGATGCAGCAATATTAAAGGTGGAATTGTTTGATGACTTTTGATCATCCACCCTGTGTTTGTTAACAAATATAAGGACTTCTTTAAGTTACACAGAGTATTTGTTATGTGGATAGATTTCACATTTTTAAATTTACCTTGTTTGCAACTCGAATCCAAAGTCTATGTAATTAGTGATTCCAATTATTTCATTCTCTTCAAGTGGATTCTTCACCTACATAATTAAAAAAAAGTTAATTCAAATTTCAGACTTCTTGACTTTATATATTACTTCCTTGATTCCGACATTGGAACATAGTAAAAATCAATGTTCTTCAAGTGACAAATCTCTCTATCAAACTGGGGTTTTTCAGGTTATTGGTAGGTTGTATATTTCTGACATTTGCCCTTATAACTAATATACTTTGCAAATGGTGTAGCACTATTAAATTAAATTAAGATGTTGATGAAATGACTCAAAAAATCAAACTGTTTTTAACTAAATGGGACACTTTTACAAATTACAAACACTAGGTATGTAGGTATGCTTATGTACCAAATTATTCTATGTAACTCCTGCTCTATTAATGTAAAACAGAAGATTCACATGCACACACACACACATAATATATATATATATATATATATATATATATATATATATATAGAGAGAGAGAGAGAGAGAGAGAGAGAGAAGAGCATACCCTTCGTTGGACCACCACATGCTGATAGAAAGAGGCTATGAACTGCAATTAAAGTGTTTATAAATAAACATAAGTACTTAAGTTTTGATGGAGTAATTATCATAGCCAAATAATAAAGGGTTAACTACAAAAAAAATGCAATTATAGTTTTAATTACCCATTCGATGTACTAAACTTAACAATGTTTTTAGTATTTTCTGTATAACATCGAATAAAAAGGTAAAAAAAATGTTACATAAACTTGTAAAATTGTAAAAATGGTAAGTTTGTTATATTAAATGTTCAGAAAAATGTATATATGTTGCATCAATTAATAAAATGGTGAAAGTATATCACTATATTGCACATTTTTGCAATTAACACAATAATAATAAGCACATGAATGGGTCTTTTCATATGAATAGAGAAGTATCCAATCACAGACCAGAAACATGTGTTATCAGAGAGGCATTCAAGTAGAACACTAAAAATAAATTTTGACATACGAAGAAACAGAAATAAAATGGAATCTGAAAAATGAAAATAGAAATAGGATAAAGGAAAAAAAAAAATGAAAATGCAAGAATCATAAACACAGAAAAACCTGGGAATTTTGAGCATATTCAAGACCAAAATTAAATGAAGGACTCAATGGGCTGCCTGATCCAAGTCCATATCCTATTGCACAATTCCAATTCTTCAAATTTTTATACTTTGCACCATCCTTCTTTTCAACTATTCAAACACAATAACCATTACAACATGTCAATTTAAAATTTTGCATAAAAAGAATACAATAAATAATATTATTAAAAGATATATATATATATATATATATATATATATATATATATGGTTAAGACTTAAGAAAGAATCTTACATTGAGGATCATATTGCACCCCAGCAGTTAATCTCCCTATCTTGCTCACCAGCCATGCAGATTTCGGGACATCATCTCCCACTACATTCAAGAAATTGTTTTTTTTTTTTTTTTTTTTTTTAACTCAAAAAAAATATATATATTTATTTTTTATTTTTTGTCAATGCATGTAACATACATGAATATGGCAAAAGTGTGGCTCCAAATGATAACCTTGATGAGCCATATCTCAAACCCATTGTTCCATAGTCTTCTGGAGATACTCTGTATGCAAAGTGAGTTTTATGAGTGAGTAGAAATTAGAAAACCATAAATAAGAAAGAATAATGGAATTGAAATAAAAAAAAAAAAAACAAGATGAATAAACCTCTGCTTTTTAAGCACTGGAAAAATGCCAAATGCTCCAAAACCATATTTCGGGTAGTATGCACATGCTCTCATGAGTAAAATCCTGAAAGATACGGACATGTAAGAACATAAGAGGAGGATAGGATAGTAAATTAGTAATAAAAAAAATAAAACTCACTCTAGATACTTACGGATCAGAACTTGATACATATAGATCTGTGAAGGTGTGAGGATCATCAACATCACTGTAAGAACATAAAGAATTTCCTTTAGAAAGAAATCCAAAAGAAGAAAATGTAAAAAAATTTGGAAATAAATAACTCTTTATAATACCTTTGCCAACGAAATAGTGCATTACCAACAATTGGATCATCAGGCTTGTTATCAAGAGGACCTGAAACCTGAATGAGGGTTAAGGAACTTTTCATTCACATTTGGTATAAAAGTTGACTCAAACTCCAAATGAAAGATAAAAGACAATATACATAAATAAATGGATTAGAAGAATGTTTGGAAAGATTGTAAGTGATTAACAGGTTTGATGGATACAGTTGCTACTAAATCGACATGACGATCATCAACTGGCTTCAACATAAATATAGTACTAAAATGATTTGCTGCATCAAAGTAATCTTCAAAGAGGCTTTTTAAGGCAAGCTTTCCAAATAGCAGATTATATGATGGCTCCAACATCCTGCATCACTTCAAAATGAACGGATTATAATCAAAACCAAATATCTAGTTGATATCCTAGTAGAAAAACAAGCTTCTTGGCTAGATTGTGATACATGAAAGAGGTGCAATGTGATTTAGCATTGCTGTGAAAAACTAAATCAAACAATCAACAAATTTTTAGCAACTAACTACGAAGATCAATACTTCCATCTTCCAAAGATGAACTTCTTGATAGTTGATACAGAATATATAAATCAGTAGGCCAATTCATAGATGAAACAGTGGGAATGAGAAAAGCATGCCACTTCAAAAGGCCATAACATTTCATCACATGGAGCTATGGGTACAAGAAAGCCTTTGGCCCTCCATTGGCTCAAAAATCAAAATCCATCGTTTGGTGCCCTAATTTCAAATTTCCCTAATGTAGATAACATGAAACCCTGGTGTTCCTCCAATCACATATTATTTTAAAGCCTGAATTTCAATATTTTATACATGATTAGGAAATTTAAACTTTGATGTTTGCCAGAAGATTCCAAAAAATAGTAGTGTGCTTGATTAAGAACCATATAAGGTATTGATAAAATATGTCATTTTTCCTCAGAAAATGTGTTTCTCTAGGGTTTGTCACAAAGTATCTGAAGTGCCAACCTCCCACGCAGGTTCCAAATTCTTTAAACAACGAGTATAAGTTACATATCATAATGCAGCATTCAAATCACTAACCCTGATTACAACGAAATCATGCTTTAAATTTTCGAAATTTTAAAATCAAATCAACACACCAAAAAATCATGAATCTATACTGCAATTGAACCAATTGAAGGGAGTAAATATAGAGAAGACCTTGTACGAGCAGCAAGCGGAGGGAAATCGAAGAGCGGCGGAACCAACACCATAGGCGGTGGAGGCCCTTTGGTCAGCGACAATAAACCACCCATTTTTTAGTTTCTCACAAATTAATTTCGCTTTCTCTCTTAAGAAATTCGTATAGGGTTTCTGATAAACATTTCTTTCTGAACAGGTTGATCGATCAGACAAAGCAAGGAGTTCGTTGGGAAGCCATGAACTTCTGAACCCTCCCCCGCGCATTTCTGATTTAACTGAACGACTCTTTCTGTCAGTGACGTGGCACGTTTTGGAGGAGAGCCTTGGGCCTCGTTGGCAAAACAAATTGGGCTCAAACTGGGAAAGAAAGATAATTTTTTTAGAAAGATAGAAAATTAGAAATTAGTTGGGTGTTTTGGATTCAAGCCCAAATTTATTATGTAATGTGTAACTGGTCCTTTAGTTTCTTGCTAGTGTGATTTATAAAATATTCTTGTTGTAAATCCATCCTAGTTCTAATGCCATGATTTATAACAGTCTTTTATGTCTTTTGATTTTCTAGAATAATGTTTAAGCAAAAGGGGTTGTTGTTCATGCATAACATCCCAAGTTCTTGGTGCCACTTTCACATAGAACTAGGCTGAATTAGTATATAGTGGAAATATAATAAAGTACAAGTAAAGGTGGATTGTAAGGGTACTATCTAACAATTAGAAGTCTTTGATTCAGTTCTAAACATAACTCGTGTTGACTCAATCAAGTCTTGACTCGATCAGATTTAATTTGGTCCTAGACCATCAAATAACCCATTATTTTGATTCTTAATTTCTTAGTACTCTTGTTCATTTTCCTTTCAATACCACGATCTTAGGAACTTGTGTTATCAAAATCCCTCCATTGAGGGGATGTTTGATAAAACCGAATCATTTAATGTTGAATGATTCCAATCTCTTGATGGTTCGGAGAAGATAGTGCTCCTTAACCATTCATAAGTCATTCAAAAGATTTTGATTTGTTTAGAGGTTGTATCAAACATCATGAATATTGGGCTATTCAAATATGACATCTGAATAGTTTCATTTAAAGGTAATCAAACAACCTCCAAGTACTCTACATTCCCAATTAGAACATCATGATGTACCCCCCCCCCCCCCCCACCCCAACACACACACACAGAGAGAGAGAGAGAGTCTAAGCCAACATTTAAACCAAAGTCTCTCATGGCTACTTAAACATCATATATTTCATTATCCTCATCATCAATGAAATCACTACCCTCATTATCGTCACTTTCCATCACTACCTTCACTATTTTCATCTATCACATATATGTCATCCATTATTTTGTCGATATTCATCTCCTAATAAGTCGTACGATTCTCAAACTCATTTACTTAGTGGCAAATCCAAAAAAAAAAAAAATTCGTTGGAAACCTAGTGATTAGTTATATGCATGTAAAGTTAGTAAAATTGGGTGATTATGTCAAAATTTTCTAAAATCCACATGAAATCTAAAGCAACAAGAAATTTCACATTATGACGTTGAGATTATTAACCTATTGTCCGACTTTTAATTCACATCAATATTAAAATCATACTTAACGTAACAAAGTGTGTATTTTCCATGTTAATTGTTTAACTGTTTTTGATGTTATCTTAATCAATTCTTTTCATGTTTTTTTTTAATAAATTTAGAGAATCTTTTTTTTATCTTCCAGTATCATACACCATTTGATAATGTCCTAAAATTTTATGTTAGAGTACAATACTCAAGGAGAAACAAATTACTTGATAAAGGTCGAGGACCACGACCAAACCACAATGCATACAAGCACACCATCACACCAATTTTACATAATTTTTTGGTTTCATTCGTACTAAAAAATATTTTTCAATAACGTATAACATTTCGAAACATAGTTCTTATACATTAAATTAAAGATATAATAATATATTTGATGCTTTTCTCCTTTTACTTTAAAAGCACAAACAATACATTAAACATTAAACGTCATTTCCATTAACAAAAGCTTAGCATGTCGAATTTAAAAAGTTAGTTCGAAATTAAACGGGATAAACAATTTAATATTTTATTATACTCAAACATCTACATTGGAGTAATCTATACTCATGTTTAGTGAATTAGAGCACGCATATCGGCCCTTTCAAGGTCCTTTTAAATGTATTTGTCTCTTGCAAAGATAACAAGATATTTATTGTTCTTTATTTTGACATTAAATTTGATAAACTAGATCACTTATTATATAAAGTAAAGGTCATTAATTCATATTTTATTAAATTTTCAGCTAAATTTTATATTTTAAATGAGTTGATATAAATATAATTATGTAAGTTTGGCATATTTTTAAACGTACATATATTAAAAATCAGTAAAAAAAAAAGTAAACGTGTAAACATGACATACTTTGACTTACTTAAGACGTAAAATACACAGAAAAAATGTTCGTTTCAAAGCACATCAAAGTCGCTTTTTATGTAACTTTCTTTGTTGCTATCTCATTAAACAACTTTCATCAATTTGATCACTATTTTTTTGTTGTTGACCTTCTTTTTTTGATGTTTTTCTTTTTACCACTCTCGTTCTTTTAAAGTTTTTGCGTATTTGTTCATTATATTTATTTTAAGATTTCAAGATTAATATGGGTTTTCAAGAAGATGACAAGAACTAACAACAGGATCCTCCTTCCTGAAGGATTCTAGGGATCCACAAGCTTTGGGCTCCAGATGAGCCCCCAACTGTCCTGCTTACAATCCGGCTCGAAAGACCCTGAGATGACCATCCAAGAGTTCCAAAATCCCTTCCTGGACTGAACCAAAGAACACTGGGGTCCATTCTGAAATACCGTGAATAATCTCCGATGAGGTGAACTCTCGCCTCCGCGCATCGATCGGCTCAGTACATGCACCTGAGCTAGAACCATAACCTAACCCCCCTTCCTGAGTGCTCAACATCATACCGAAAACAATATGAAAACGATCTGAATATACCCAAGAATCCTCACCTCACAGGCTCCCTAGATTCTCCAAGACTCTCCCCGATTCGAGTATGGATCCTGTGCTTTCAGTACTACGGGCCCAATACTACCTTCCACACATATCCATACTTTCCTCAAGAATCCTCCTGAATCCTCTAGGTCATTTTCTCAATCCATACACCACACACTCGCTAACCAGTAGAACGAAACCCACTGAAGCAACTCCCCAGGCTTTCCTAGGTTCCCGACCTCACCCTGCCATCAGCTGCTGAAGAACTCCCCATAATGCCAGTCACCCACCTCATGAATACAATCACATGCAACAAGGATTAGATAATCCTTCGAGTAACAGACTCATCCCTACAACGGTTGGACTTAGACAAGAGTTGGGGAATAGGGTCAAATCCATCACTCTGAGATTATTCAACCCTTGTCACATGTGACTTGACATATTCACTTAGTAGCTAACTCCCATCACCTAAGAGTGCTAGCAAGCAACATTCGTGTAGTAGCACTCCAATCCACATAATAATCACAAGCATCCAATCCCACATACTACCATCCATACTAGGAGCTCCCACTCCCGCTACTGATTGCCTTACACATCCAAATCATACCCAAACCAGCATCCCACACTTTCTAGGCTACTAAACATCATATAACAGGCCAACCTATCACTGGCTAATCAGAACTAGCATGCAAGTCTACAAGCTCATACAATAGGCATACAAGGCATCTCTCCTAGCATTCTATCATGCAAAAACTGAGCAGATCCTTAGCCCTAACTAGCATGCGATTCACAAATTCACAGATCAAAGCATATAAGATAACATGTATGGGTATTTTGGGAAAATTTACTTGAGCTCGGCTGATTGCATGCACCACACCCTTTCTTCTTTTAGAAAAATCCCTTTCTAAAAATTATATTTCTTTTTCAAAAAAAAAACTTTACCAAATCCTCAGTTTGAGTTTAGACACACCCGAGAGTGTGCCTGAATCCCTCAAACCAAGGCTCTGATACCAACTTGTAACGTCCCAAAAATAATGACATAAAATTTTTGTTTTTGGATTAGTAAATCGTTAATACTTAACATTTCCATGAAACCAAGTTAATTGAGATTTATCAAAACATCGTCAAATCAGAGTAAATCACAGAATGCGGAAACATGCGGTGTGTGCTCTGCAATCATCCCGAGCTCTTCCATTTGAAAACGGGAGTACCTAAACATAAACTGAAAACCGTAAGCACAAAGTTTAGTGAGTTCCTCAAACTATCACATACCATACATACACAAATAAACACATAATGGGCCCCGCCCGACATCGGATCCCGTCCGGCATCGGGCCCCGCCCAGTATACATGTAAAACATATGAACATATAGACATATAAACATATCAATACATAACACATGCAATAATCATGAAGATACATAACATACAGAATGGTCATCAGGCCCCGCCCGACATCGGGTTGTACCCGGTAATCTTAAGAACACATACAGATAACTAGCATACAATACACTCATCAGGCCTCGCCTGGCATTGGGCCCCGCCCGGCATCGACCCCTGCTCGGTAAACATAAAACATATAACACATGCAAGATTCACGCATACAACAAGCATACTAAACATAACAATCATGGGTCGGCATTGGTGCCTTCGACCCACTAAACATAGAGAGGAGACTTGCCTCGCACTACTGAATCTAACAGAAAAAATCTATGGCTGTTGGCCCACAAGAATCTTGCACTATCAATCACAAGTTAAACATCTGTAACGCCCGTAGATCCGGGCTAGTCAAATTAGAGACAATGAACATCAAAAATGAGTTTTTGATGGAAGATTATTTAGAAGGAGTATTCTTAACCAAGTGGTAGTATATGTTCTAAGGGTTCCGTACATATAAAGAACGCGAAAATCCGAGTTATAACGAAGAAGTTATGGTCCGTCGAAGTTTTGCTGCAAAACCGGCACGGCACCGGGAGACGTAAATAGTGAATTTACGATAGAGGACTTTTTAGCCTTAGTGATCTAAACAAAAGTTGTAGTATATGTTAAACCAAGAACATACAAAAAAAAAGAACGCCCAAATCTGACTTCGTATGAGGAAGTTATGATTTTTCTAAGATTTGGCATAGCAGTACACGACCCGAAACTCGAATTTTAGTTCGAGCGGTTTTTGGCTTACGCAACCTTAATGAGACTTGAATATCTCATTAATAGGAACTCAACGGTAAAAAGACAGACGAAAACGGAGTCTGTATGAAGGAGTTACGAAT